TCCTTAGGGGCAGCTCTAAATGTTTTTTAAACAAGTCTTTTTTCACATTCTCATACTAAGCTATTGAAAACTGAAAATACTTTTAAATTCCCCAGTTTCCTGCTTTGTATGAAAGGGTATACTTTTAATTAAACCACAGCCAGCAACATTCTAAATAAATAATCATTAATGATTTCAAGAAAGACAGGGAAATACAGCATATAAATAATGCATTGATTTCTATTTGAGAGCAGTGTACAATGCTTACTTACAGTTAAAAGTTGTTTTAACCAAACAGTTTTAAAATAAATAATTATTTGGTCCCTAATATCAGAAGGAAAAAAAAAAAAAAAAAAAAAAAAAGTGGAAAAAAGACACTGAAAGTAATTTCATGTCCTACTGACAACAGATTTCTGGCTGATTCTTCCCATTTACTTAAAGCAAAACGCAGGTAGCCAAAGCCAAACATTTTTTTTCTAAAATTTGGTCTTTTAAAGTTATACTCAGACTATGAAGGGCCTTAAAACATTTTGACTTTCAATTAAAAATTAGTGTAGTGCAAGTCTACTGCATGAAGAAAACCTGACAAAACACACAAGTGACATACTTGGTATTTCAACACAGCTTGACATTTTGAAGCTTCATGCTACACTTCCAGGAAACCTTTGGAATCACAAGAACTGCTCACTCATATTACAAACTCTACACAACAAATTATTTGAGGAGCTTTCCTTCCTAATTTTCCAGAGAATGAAACATTGAACTAGCCATTGAATTAGAGTTAGGATTTCAGAACAGTTAAGGGTTGATGTAAATGTCTTCATTAAATATTGCCAAAATGACCACCAAAAGAGTAAACTAAAGCATGCTTTCTCTCTCTTTTTCCCGCCAGGAGCCTCACATATCTTACATCAAATTGTTAAAGCTCTGCTGAGGGGCAGGAAGGCTCTGCAGAGGGATCTGGACAGGCTGGATCCATGGGCCAAGGCTGGTTGTATGAGGTTCAATGAGACCAAGTGCTGTGTCCTGCACTTGGCTCCCAACAACCGCTTGCAGGGGCTACAGGCTGGGGACAGAGTGGCTGGGAAGCTTCACAATAAAAAAGGACCTGGAATTAAAATTTCTTCACCAAAAGGGTTTGCCAAGCAATGGAACAGACTGCCCAAGGAAGTGAGATACCATCCCTGGAGGAAAGACATGCAGATGTGACGCTAGGGGACATGGTTTAGTGGTGGACATGGCAGTGATGGGTTAACAGTTGAACTCCACAGTCTTCAAGGTCTTTTCCAATCCTAACAACTCTGTGATTCCAAGATACATGGCTTTATTTGTAAATCAGCTTCAAAACATTTAGAAACTTTGTATATTTCTTTTGGGTTGAGAGTAACAATTTTGGGAGGATTTCTGCTCTCTGCATTTGAACCAAGTTAACTGTGAGCAATGAATGTTTTTCTCAAGAACTGTCTTTAAAAAAAAAAATCACATAGGAATTCCACACACTTTAAAATGCTCAGCAAGAGATCCTGTGAGATTAAAAGCTCAATCAGAAGAGACTGAATCAAATTACAATTATAGAATTAAAAGATTTTTCTTCCTAATGCTTCTTATCTCTGTAAAACTCTATCTTTGTAAAATTTAATGGATTGAAGAAGTACTCTTATGTGTTGCAGAAAATACATCCTTTCATAAGGAATACTGGGTCCCAAAGAATTACAGCCACAATGATGAACTGATCAACTCAGAGTTTTCCCCTGTTTATAAAAACCTGGAGTTACAGGATTAAGGAATCACTGAAAAAATACATCTCAAACTATTTAATATTTCCAAAGAAAACACTGGGATAAGATCAGAATTGAACAGGGAACACACGCAGGACAGGAAAAGCTGCCAGTGGTGTTACTGACCTGCCCAACAGCACAAACCTGGGGCTTTTATGTGGCCACCAGCTGTAGGATCTGTAGCTTTCATGTAGCTCTAAAAATTTGAACTTTTCAGTTGCAACCCCACACAACCGTCACTTGCCCCAGTAATCTACCACCTAAATAGACAATATGGACAAACTTTGGAAGGTAACGGTATCTTCCCTAGAGTACTATTTTACCCTTTTGCTTATTCCACAGAAACCATTTTGCAGTTATCTTTGTAAGAAATAGGAACTCAACACAGATACTGGAATTCCACAGACAGAAGAAAACAAAAACAAAATTGAGGATGAACATGGGTAACTCTAGATCTAGGGAAGAAACCATTACTTTTGATCATTCGAAGACAAGAAAAGATATTTGTGTAACAGTTACCCAGGTATCTAGAAACTACGTGTTCCACTGATGAGGAATGAAAAGAGCCTGAAACCTATTTCAAGTGAAGCATCTCTTCACAGAACTATACTGCCAATACTTTCCATTCATTCCACCTTCCCAAGAACATTTAAAGCAATTTGAAACTCCTGTGTTGAACTTGAACTACTTTCAGCGCTCAAGTCTTATTTTAAAATTTATGATCATAAAAGTTCCTTATTAAAAAAAACAAACAAAGCCAACCCACCTATTCACTCCTGCTAAACCCCAGACAAAAGCCCTCTGGGAGGCTCTGAGCCCAGCTCAGTCCCAGCTGTCAAAGCCAGTACCAGGGGGTAGGTCAGATGAGACCGACATTACCACAGGCACACACAGCTTGGAGTGAGGGAAAGGTAAAGAAGACAGAAAATCAAACATCTGCAAGCAAACAATGCAGTATTTTCCTTCACATTTTCACAAAAATCCTAGAAGAAATTGTATTTACATTTCCTAGTCACAGAATTATGCACAGGTGAGGAAGAAGCTACTTTATCCATTCACACCAAAGCCATCACACATGGGCAAGGCCTAAATCTGTATTTCTCAAACTGTCAAAGCCAGAGTATCAATGTAGTTCTATCCACACCTTTGTAACATAAAGGTCCACAGTAAAATCTTACTCTAGAATACATTCCAATGTGATTTGTAAATGCTGACTTCGGTTGTATTGAATTAAAAATGTAGATTTTGATATTTTTTGATTAATAATTTTAATACTCTGCCCTTATCCTTCCACTTTCCAACCCAGGTCAGAGAAGCATTTTGTGAATAAGCTTTCTCTGATCCACCTTTTGGTTGTTATGTCTTTGGGAAAAAATAATATTACATTGGTAATACTTATTAAAGTGACATTGAAGGCACATATATTTAGAGCAGTGTTAAAACACAAAGGTGCCAGGAAAAAGAATGACGACAGGAAATCCAGTATTTTAGAAAGGCCCTTGTGAATTATGTTAACATTTGCTTCTCCCTTCATTCATTATGATGATAATATTAATCTACCTCTAGTCTAGGTTGTGCTACTTGTTTGTTTTTGCAGTACTCCATTCTCTAGACTAAGCCACCTTTACTACTTCTCTCAGCATTCCATCTGCTCCCTACTAAAAAATTTTTGATTACCTTCCCAGTCCTGATGAGGTGTTCTGATGCATAAACTACATTTCACATTTTTTTAATTCAGCTAGCTAAAAAGAGAAAAAAGAAACTATAAATAAGCATACATGATAGGTATTCTTAAAGCCTGATGATCACTGAAATGAAAGAGCCTTATGTTTATCAGGGAGAAAACTAGGAGTCAACAAAGAAAGAGATAGAAAAGAATTATTTGCCACAGTTGCTGCATTTCAAAAAGCAAATGCAAATGCAACTTCTATGCTTGAAAATACTTCATGATTGGGAATTCTCATCCAATGCAGCCAGTTACAAAATAAACCCTTTTCAAGAATCTGAAACGGAAGTGGTTGGTCATTTATTTTTATGTTCCTTACTTTTTTAAAGCCATCCAAGTAAGAACCACTCTCACTGGTAACCTCCCTGACTTCATACACAGCCATTCTGAGATGCACAAGAGTGCCACAGTCAAGTCAATGGCACATTAACTTTTAAACCTGGTAATTGTACAAATGTCAACATTAGATGGGATTTTCAAAGGTTCTTAGGCAATTAAGCAATCTTATGATTCTGAAAAGGCCCAATGAAAATGCAAGGCACTGTCAGCTGTTTTACCGCTTACCACCTGAGCAGAAACATCCAGTCAATGCATCAATTCAGCAATTCCAAATCTCCTATCACAAAGCCAAGCCTACCTAAACTCTACCTTACAATTCTTTTATCTTAGATAGCATTATAGTTAACATTATTTATGAATTTATTCTAGCAATGCTTCTGTGAGGTAGAGAAACACTGTTATTTCCATTTTACATGTCATGTCAATCCAGGCAGAGCAGGATACGAGAGCTGTATGTTAGCCTTCAATACCATAACAATACAATTGTAGCTGCAGAATAAAAAATATCTGCAACTTGTCCAGAACTTTAAAGTGTCATTTCAGCTTATGTTCTTTTTAACAGCAAAATAAGCACCAATTGTGTTATTCACAGAGGAAGAAGCCTCCATTTTTAAATTTAAATGAAGCTGTTGGAGTTACAACACAACACGCAGACTGAAGGAAGCTTGCTTCAGAGCCGCTGCTTGTTGAATATTATGTGAAGCCTCACAAACAGCTATTGAAAAAAAACTATTTACACACAAGAAAGACCCAGAAACAAGGTAATTGAGGGATACAAAACAAACCCTACTTTCCTTACATCAAAGTAACAGCAAACTGTTCTGGCATTATAAATGTAAGATATCCACAAGTACAAATAAACAATATAAATGTTAGAGGGACACTATGTTTCACGGCAAACATGCACTGGCAGGAAAGTCTTATCCAAACAAACACTTTCTGCTGCCCTGTCAAAAAGATAACTTTGTCATGCTAAGAAAGTCCAGCTTTAAAAACATGTTAATTCCAGAAGGAAAAAGTCCCTTCTTGCCTTAGCTTCAATTAGTTTTGCTTGAAATAGTTAAGGCAGATATACATAATCTGGAAATTTGCATCAAAGCAATCCTCTAAAAATCTTCTACAAATTCATTAATAAAGTAGGAAAAACTGAAAAGCATTGAACAAGTGGCTCTCCTTACCTTCAGCACAGCAATGAATGGTACAAAATTAGCCCTCTGAAGACCATTTTTATAGAGATCTGAAAGAAAGGAAATCAGTACCATTTTGCTACTTAAGTCTTAATAACATTGGCTTGTCTTCTAGTCTAGCAAATAAAACTCAGTATTGCTAAAGACAGGAGGAGGAACAAAAGGCAGTAAAGGAGAGCTAAAATCCATTTCTCTTCTTTCACTGTACGCAAATTCAATACAACATCAAGAAAGAAAGGAATATCCTGAGGAAGTGTGAAAATGGCAGGGAGAAAAAAAGTACTTAGATCTCTAATGACATATAACTAATTCTAGCACAAGAAATTACAACAGCATCTATTTTAAAGTGAGGGTATAAAAATATTTGTAATGCTGTGTATACATTGGTATAGATAGTAAGGCCAAACTATGCAACTGCTACATCCAAATATTTGGCAGAGTACAAAAAACTCTCATAAATTAAAAATACACTTTTGTCTTTACAAAGGCAACATCATTCTTGCTCAGTGCACTGTGGTACATTTTATCTTCTAGCAATTCTCCCAGGCACACCCCCTCTTCAAAAGCAAGAAAAAAGATCACTCCTAAGGCCAAAAAACTGAAAATTAAATTAGTATGTAAACTTAGGCAAAGTTGCTAAAAATACTACTGAATAAAGAAAAAAAATAGTACGTTATGTAACAAAATGCAATCTGCATTATCAAACAAAAAACAAATTAAAAAAACTGCAAAGCAGCATTTTCATCTTACTTTTCTCTATATATTTATACAACATAAACTTTCTTCTCTGAAAATTATCCATCTGCCCAACAAGTTCATAACAGAATGACTTCTTATTTGAAAACACAATCACTTAAAACTGTATGACGCTCTGCTCTGTTTAATTAATATTTGGAAGCCTTATAAAAAGGCAGCTTAACACCTATAACTGACAGAAGGAATGAATAAGAGAATACAGACAGCTGGCAGAGATATCACCAAAATTTCACACAAAGCACATGCCAGGTTATGATTATCCTTTATATTCCCCATAAGGCCTGAAGGCTACAGCTATACTAAAGCTTTTATGCTTTACCAAGACCTCACAGTGGACAGAAGATGCTGCACCTATGAGACACCACCAGTGCACCTACAGAATGGTTTTCACAAAATTGGATATGTACACGGAACATTTAGAAAATGATCAGCAAAGGCAATTCCATTACCCTAATTACTAACAAAGTTCTAGGAAGCCATGTATCATGCTCATTCCCAACTCAGCCAATCAGGATGGTCATACATTTGTTAAAATACATAGCAATCAATTGCGTATTTACTTGCAAAAATCAGTGAAAATGTAACAGTAGTGTAAGACAGCTACTCCCATCAGTTCTTCAGCTAAGAGGGCTACGAGCTTTGTATCATGTCTCTGTCTCACGAGGATCAGAAAAATAAACAGTCATTTTGGTGGAGACATGAAGCCAGGACTCCTCAAATACAACCTCAGTATTTCCCCTCACATTCTCCTGTTCAACACAGTTACATGTATCACTAATGGTCAGCAGCTGGGTACATCTGCTCTCTAATGAAAAAGACACTTTTCCCCTTTGCATCCACAAGAAACTAATCTCTACATTCAGTCTTAGATATTGGTGTGGCATATTACACTAACCCAACTCCCTTTCCTGCAAGGGGATGCCAGATACACCATGAGCATGCAGGAATAGTGACCGAAGAAGAGAAAGGCATCAGCTAACACCTGGACTGTAACATAACTCAGCTCTGGAAATGCTGTTCTTGACATCCTCTGGGGTACTTAATACAGGTGGATGTATTTCAGGTTGATACAGTGACTTAATATATATGAAAAACATCCAGACAACAACAGAGGTCACAAAATGACTTCTTGATTTAAAACATTAACTACAATTTTCACGCTATGATAAAAAATTCTCCTGAACTTTAAAGTGCAGTGCTTCAAAAATGATGGCTCTCAAGCAAGTAAAGCACCAGCATTCAGTCTATCTGAAGTCAGCGCAACTACAGAAGGTACAGTTTCATCTTGTTTGTGCAAAAAAAGGAAAATAAGCCAATGGGAAATATTTTCTCCCTTAAGACAAACATTTGGGTGGGATTTTTTGGTTTTTTGTTGTTTTTTCTTTCTAAGATAAAGCTCATTGTAGAATTGCCTATCATTAGTGACTTTTACTCAATTAATTTGGGTAGGAAAATTAATGGTTGCTACAATTAGAAATAAGGTACCTCCTCAGTATTTGAAATTGATCAATCTGAAATGTCACAAAAGTTTATGCATTATGCTAACTGCTAACACTATACAACACAACATCTTTCTCCTCTACAAAAAATTTGTTACTGCATGGTTAAAACTCATAAAGATTTGGTGACTTCATAGAAGAATCTACTTAGCTAGTCACTATAAGCGACTAGTCACTATAAAAAAAGAGGTAGAAATGGAAACAACTGTCCACTTAATTCCCTCAAACCACTTAATAAGAATGTAAGAATGGCATCTTGGTGACTGGCTCTCCTTCAGGCTGGTAGACTACATCTGCAAATTTCTGAGTTAGAAACTGGGAAGGAATGCGATCTCATTTCCCTTCTTTTGAAGGATCTGATCTTTCCCTATCCTTAAACACATTCAAAACAGCTGATATTTTACCCCTCCTCAACTGCCCCGTGCCCAAACACCCTCTCACTGGTTTGGATAGAGTAGAGATCAGAAAACACAGAAGGTTTTGAGAATGGTGGAGGAAGGAACACTCTGAATTTGAGATAAAGAAGGGGAAAGATTAAGTGAAAAACCTTTCTTCTTTAAGAACAAGAAAAAGCAGGGGACAAGCTGGAATATCCCCAGTTTTTGCAGTCTGGAGAGTTCATTAGTATTAAGTACTGTATGACTTAAATGCAATTGTTTGTAAGATACTGAGATTCACTGGATTTGGGTAATACTAGTAGAATGTTTGTTTTTACCTTCTGGTGGCCTGTTAGATGTTGCCACAACGACAACCCCATTTTGGAAGAGATTTTCAAAAAGCTGCTTCAGAATCATGGCATCAGCAATGTCAGTGACCTGAGAAGACAACAGATTTGTTTTATCTTGCTTTCAGCTTCTGCTGCAATAGATCTGCAAGTGGCTTTGTAGCTAGGAAAATGCTTGTTAGTGAAAGCCATGGAAAAAGATTCTAATTATTGCTTGGTGAGAAAAAAATAAAAGGGATAATTAATAAGCAGTGAATGTACCATAGTCTTTCAAAACTTGCCCACTCTTTATTGCGGAACTCCACCATTTCTTTACCAATTGCTAAATTATTCCGTGTTAACTTCTATTATAAAACTACAGGTGGGAGACGCAGAAAACAGACCTAAACATTTAAGAGCCTACTTAATTAGGAACAACATGAAAAAAAAAAAACAGAAGATAGAAAGAGATACACACTGGCTGTTTTACATTTCTATTACCTTTGAGGCAAAGGTTTGCAGAGGTGAATTTAAAATGGTCATGAGACTTCGGAAATAAAGACAAGTAGCCAACTATACATAATCAGCTGCTGTTGAAAATAGAATGATATGACATAGATACTATTGTGTGATTGTTGCAAAAAACAATTCAACAGATGGCCCATCACAAAAATAAGCAATTTCATTGTTCTTTTTAAGTGCCTTCTATTACTGTCCATGAATAATCAAAAGGCAGGCAGTCACTTCCAGCACAGTCAGCCTCTTCTAACCTTCAGGCACAAAACACGAATGAAAAATAAAAATGGGTAGGACAAGTGATACTGGGGAGGGGTAAGGAAGAAAAAATGACTACAAGATAAGCCATTAAGTAAAATTTCTTTAAGTACCTTAATTTTAAAAATTTAACAAATTTGCTTTATAGTAACAAGAAATAAAAGGATACAGGAACAATGCTGTAAAAAAAATATAAAGTTTTTCTGAAAAAACAGCAATTCATATTTTACAGGCGTTCACCATAACTTAATACATAAACCACCTTTATGATCATTACACTTGATTTTCCTGAAGTCCCAGTGGTTATTATAAAGACACTTGTTGCATTTTGGCTTGCCAAAATAGACCCCAGTTCTGAGGAAATAAACCAGTGGTGGCATGCTGAGAATTATACACTCCCATTACACAAGAGATTGACAGATTGCTGTGCTTTCACCACCTTAGACGTGTATGCTGTGATGGCAAAACATGTGAAGAAAGATTTTACCCAGGGTAATGTTTTCTTCTACTCCACACCCCTCCATTCCCCATAATTCTCCCACTCCTAAATGACTTTTCTGGGCAGAAAAAAAAAAAAAAAAAAGATAATTCTACACTAGAGACTTAGGCAAAAGACTTATGTTAAATTTCTGGCAGCTGGTTTTGAAGCAATAATTGTTATTCTTAATGAACAATATAGAAACACTAGTTTCCTTCTTCCAAAGATTTTTTTCCATTTTGTTCTATGAATGCCTTAATAGGGATTTTTTTCTTCCTTTTTAAAAAACTAACTTTTACACAGTCTGTAACACATGGCTTGGATTTGCATATCTCTGCTCCCTAAATCTGAAAAGATCTGAAATTTTAAAAAATCGTCATTCACTACTGTACCATACGTTTAATACACTTGTTTATGTTTCACTTATCAATAATTTATTTCTTCTGGATACTAAAATTTAGGAACTTGTCCCATTCCTGAAAAAAGAAGACACACAAGGAATCACTCTAGATGTGCATCCTAGGGCTAACTGAATTTTGTTGTACCACAAAGCACACCTAAAAGCCAAGTTTTAAAATTCTATAATAGGTATAATTTTGTAACAAACCTTTTTGTTTAATAGTACTACAAAGCACGCTATCTTTAGCAAACAGGGAATGAAAGAGTATTAATGTTCACATAAAACAAAACAATTACATTCTCTTATTAATCAGAATTGTTATTTGATACAGAATTCTGAGCTCCATTACAAAAATAAGGAAAAGAAAAACACAAAACAAAACAATAACACAAAAAAACCCCCAAAAACCCTCTTTTTATCTAATGCAACTTAGGAAGGACAATAAATTTCAACACTGTAAAGCAGGTAGAAGACAGTAACTAAAGGATTGTAAGTTCTCATGTTTTTACTGTATCCAGCATTTATTGCAACTGATAATAAAAGCAAAGTCTACAAATTACCAATAAGGAGGGCCTGCTAGGGGAGAGAATGGAGAAATTTCATTAGCATTTAAGAGAAAAAAAAAAGGAAAAAAAAAAGAGAAGACACTAGACTAATAGTTAATTTACATGTGTAAGTGCCTGAGACTCAGTCAGCCACTGATTGGTACAGTTCCACGTAATGAATGACAAACATAAGCATGTATTATCAGCAATTAGTATTAGCACAAAAATAAGAGCCTAATTTTTATTAGAGGCTTTTAATAGAATGCAGGTTAGTAAAAACTCTAAACTGTTCATTTTTGTAGTCCAAATACTACCATTGGTAGCTTAAGGCTAATACTGCATGGTCACTCAGCTTCCTAAGAAGGAGGGACTCTAGTTTCTTTATCAATACTAACATCGGTTACAGTCCCCTGCCAAAATTAGAGCTTCTAATTACCTGTGTATAGTTATTTGGTCACTGCTAGCCACCCTGTGTTCTGAAATATCACAATTATAAATGGCTTAATTTTAGGGTTTTTCTTCAAAATGAAGACGTTTTTAGAATGGCTTAAGACTTTTGTGATTAAAAGAATATTTTAATATTTCCAGTTAACTGTATGACAAAGATCAGGAAGACATAGCAATGCCTTAATAACCTGACAGCCTGAGCTCAGGATTGCTGACAAAATCCTGCTTCAAAATGGACAAACACAGAAGCATAGTGCCATCACTGAGGTCCTGGCCATCACGCAGTATTTGCACAAGGAAACATTAAAACATAATTCTCTTTTTTAATACAACAATACTTTGGAACACAGAAAATTACTTTTAAAAGAAGTAGTGAAATATTTTTCTAGATCAATTAGTCAATTCTCCACTTGCTTAATAATTCTCTGGGCTTTGCAGGAAGATTCACTTTGGAATACTTCTGTTTTGCTTTAGCCCATTGTCAATGAGGAAAATGCAACCTCAGCAATGCTTTTGTCTCCTGAAGTTCTGCATTTGGTTTCCTCTGCAAAAGGAGCATTAGCAATATGTTTTGCTGTCCCTGTTTAAAATACCACACATTCATTTCTGTTTTAAGATAAGTAAATTACTAATTTCAACTCATTCTACTTTTCTTGTTCAGCAGGCATCTGAAAGCATCTTGAAGTGTTTAAAGGAAATCCCAATAGTTTTCTGATGTTGTCTCTGCACACAATTATTTTGCCAAAACAACCTCACTTTTCATCTGTCAAAACAGGGAGTTGCTTTGTCCACAAGTCAGAGCAGTGTATGTTCTTAGCCTGCAACTCTTTCCAGTTCCAGTTCAATCTAGCAATTCTTTAAATATGGGTAAATCAGACTGCAGGGAAATAAAGCCATGATCTCCACTATAGAAATGAGCTGCAAACATCCCAAATTAAATACGGCTCCTTATTATTAATATTAATTATAGCACCATGTGAACTCCTCTTCCAGTCACTGCACTACTTTATGATTATTTCAGCAGAGGGTTTCTTATCCCAAATTCAGTGCCTTCTGCAAAATTTCAGAAAGCTAGAACTCCTTTTAAACAGGCAACACCTGTGTAGAGTTCCACATTACAGAAAATCAGTCAAGAAATCCAGCCATTCAGAAATCTGTGAATTTGGAAAATTAATACACCCAAACAGAGTAGATTTTAAAAATTCACTTAACAATGCAAAGTCTTGGAAACATATTTAAAGTATAGTTCTTGTATTAATTTCCCAACTGCAACAGTTCAACAGAACAGGTGATTTTTACAACTGAAGTCATTGATGTACCTCAAGCAAGTCAGCAGGGGGAGCAGGTAATCAGCTTGGGAAGAAAAAATACCATTGTCTCTCCCTTCAAAATGTGGAAACATGACAGACAGTCTGTAAACACTGCAATACTGCAACATGAAAGCAGTGAGCATTTATACAGAAAAACAGGTATTTACACTGATACATGGTACAGCCATTTTCTACCATTTGAGCATTTAATGCTGTGATAGTTAACACTTCCCTCTCCAAACCTTCCCATTTCTTCACAATGTAAGTACAATTGTCTCTGTATTTAGACTTTACACTCAGGTTTTGGAAGCCCAGCATAATCGTATTCACTGACAGCACAAATTAAATGATCAAACAGCAGCAATTGCAATGACCCTACACATTCTGAAACCACGGGTCAAAGGACCACCCCTGCTTGAAAAATGCAAGAGAAACTTAAAACAAGAACAACTGTTACTTGACCAAAATTCCTTTCATGGGAGCTGACGATGAACAGTTATTTCCTCAAGTGTGCAGATTTGCAAAATAAAAGCTGAGAGATATAAAATGCTCCAACCATTTCAGAAATGTATTAATTTAACACCATAACAGACAATTAACAGTTAATAGGTTATTTTACTGTTGGTGATTTGAGAACTAACATAGATCTGTTGCTCTGAATTTTCTCTCAGAATTGAAAAAAAAATCTCAGCTGGTTAAAGCTGCCAAATATCTCTAGTTTTTTTATTAAACACTGTTATAAAGAATTTTACATTTAAGTTTGTGACATGCCCTTTTAATATTCACAAACTATGTAAAACAGATGAAATAATCAAGTTAGCTTGGGCAAAGATCATTTTACATACTTATTTTTAATTTTCACATTAAATTCAATAGAAGTTTCTTAAAATCCTTAATCACATTTAGAGTGTTTGTTACATTATATGAACTATAAAAGGAAAGATCAGTGGCAAGCAAGCATCAGGTGGCACTGTACAGACTCAGTACAAGATGATGGCCCCTGCAATGAAGTATTCATGAGACTCCAGACAAACTCTAATACCTCCTTGAATGATTAGTGACCAGACTGGTAAACAAAAGCACTGTAAGGGGACTCACACTGCTAACCTGCTTCTTGTCTGTTGTGGGAAAAAAACCCCAAACCCCACCATCTTCACAACTGTGAGGTGACTTTTAGTCTTTAATTTCTACTGGCCAGTGATTCAAATACTATACTAGCAGTAACAAGTATCCTATTTTAAGATCAAAAGTAATTTTATGAAGCTTCCCTTGAAGTGAAACTTCATAAAATTACTTTTGATCTTAAAAAGAAGTGTGAAGGAGTAATTTATGACCTCTTACCTGAAACTCATCAAAACACAGGAGCGCAGCCTCTTTGCTTATTTCCTCTGCCACAGGTGCAATTGGGTCATATGATTTGGCCATAAATCCTGCTTTTCTCTTTGGTAAGTTCTGCTTAAGGCGATGTATTCCTTGGATAATAAAACAGAAAAGAACAAATATTTCTTATTTCTTTTACTAAGACAGGAAGAACAAAATTATTTAGCTAACAAATAAAAAATAAATTGGTCCAGTAAAAATAAGAAAACTTCGAACTTAAACCAGTTTCAAGAGGGTAAAACAGTTTTCAACCACATCCACACAACAGTTAAAAGCCCACAGATTTTGTGATTCTTATTTTGTTTAGAAAGACATAAAACAAATGTCGAAAACATCTTGAATGCTATTCACCTATACTTTATATTCTATAAACTGATACAAATTGTTTTTTTATCTTGCTCTGAAGACATTCTTAGAATGCAATTGGCTAAAAGAAGGCAGACGTAGCAGCACAGTTACACTTCAAAATGTGAAGATGATGATAATGGCACAAAGTAAAATTATTAAATCCATACTTTATTGTCTCATGGATTGTATTGCATCTGACTATAAACAAAGATTCTGAAAAAAAAGATACTGCAGAAGGAAGCCACATTTGTTAAGATTAAGCGCAAATGACAAGAAATGGAAACAGAAAATCTCAAGTGACCCAGCAATGAAGAAAAGTGGGCACTAAAAAGTGGCTCAAGTTATCTACATGAGTGAAAGCTTCCCAAGAAAAATCCAGCTGTCACAACACTTGTAAAATGCAGCAATATTTAACAATTTGACAGTATTATAAGGTCACAGAATTTAGAAACAGAAGCAAATTTTAAAATATCTAGAACAGCATTCCTGTAAAAACAAAGTACCTTATTCAGCCAATCAGAAAATTTTCTGAAACTTAGGATGCACTTCTTTCTATTACTTTTTTCCTCTAAAGTGCTGACAGTTTTACTAAGTCATCCAGAATAGTTACCATTCCCCTTGGCATTTATAGCTGATTTAGTTACTGCTTATTCAAAATACAGATTGAGTTTAACCTTCATATTTTCAGTCTTAGCAATCACCTTCTTCAATTTCAGGTAAGCTAATTGGTACCTGGAAAACATTTAGTTAAGGATTCTATTCTAACCAATACACTTGAGCTATATATACAGTGAGGTATGTATATTTTTCTTTCAGAAAAGATACTTGAGAAATAATATGCAATTAATAGCTATGCTGGCACGATAAACAATGCTAAAATGCTTTAACTTTTCTCCTATTTTTTAAATTTTTCTTTATGCTTAAATATTTAAATAAAATTACAGTGATTAATATGAATACGAGACAGACTTTTTAATAGATACTGTATTTTACAAAATTCTTGTCAATACCTGTGCCTGCACTTACTCTGGTGTACATCCAACATGAAGCCATGAAAATGGACTCTCTTTTTCCTTTCTACTTCTAAGTGAGAATAGAACATGTCCATCACCATTGTCTTTCCTGTGCCTTCAAATAAGAACAATAAAAAACACTCAACAGATAGCTAATTTAAGAGAAGTATGTACTGACTACAGTAATGACTGTTAGTTTGGCCCTAATGAAACAACCATTTTCCACAGGGTAAGTACAAGACCAGACTACTGTGAGGAATAGTTATGTTTTGTGTTCAAAAACTTGGAACAACTACATTTTTATTTTTCTGTTTCAAAATACAGAGATGGCCCAAAAGTTGCACAAATTACTTGCCATACATCCATAAAACATGTTAGTATTTAATTTATGTTTTCATGCTGCACTGTTGCAATTAGAATACATGAATTGTCTCCCACAATTACTTCCCAAATCCTTAAATTGCATTCTTAAATTCTAGTGAATGGGTAATGCTGGAAACCACTACACATAGTAATGTGGTCCAATCAGCTTCAGCCATTGTGAACATGTGCACTAGATCCAGAGTGTAACTATATTAAATAACATCATAATGTTACATCCTGTAACATTAAACCAATGTTTAATTCATTAAACCAATAAAGTTACATAAACACAAAGCTTTTAAACACTTCAGAATTTGAATAGATGTGAATTTTGAAAAAAATCCACTGGAAGCAAACAAAACTTACCAACATCTCCATAGACATAAAGACCTTCTGGGGGTTTGGTTTTGGCAAAGACCTTCAAGTCAAGAGAAAAAAAGTAAATGTAGATATGGGATAAAACAAAAGCAAGCACATGGCTGTGATAAAGTAAGAAAGTAGCTACACTTAACCACAACAGTAGCACTAGGTAGCAAAGTGTAACCTTGACTAAATCATTATCTGGGGATTCATAGAGTAATGTTATCATCCTGAAAATTCTGTATAAGAAGCAAAACACACATTCAGGGCTTGGGTTTTGGGGTTTTTTTAGATCATTGTGAAAACATCCCCATCCCCAGCACATGTGCCTTTTTATCAGAACACACAAAATGATTCAATATTTCTAAATCCACTATCATCAAAACAATCCTTTCCCTCATTAAGCCATTTGATGAAACAGTCCTAGGAAAAAAGGATATAAAGTTACACAATATGGTACTATTAATAGATATATGCATTAAATACCTATTAGAGCAGATCTGCGAAAGAGATAAACTATTAGGACTTACAGAAAACCAGTACTGCAAAGCCCATGAACATTGTACATCCTATTTCTCTCAGCTTTGGATATTAAACACAAAGCCATCTCTGGTTTAAACATGATTAAAAACAATGGAGTCACAGTAAAAACATGTATCTATATACACATGCATGTGTTTGTATATGTATAAATATATACAAATATAAAAAATATACTTTCAAAGTATGCCTTTTATTAACCATTTTTTCAAGTGAGTTACTTCCATCAGGAATGAACACTGATTAAAAATTTTAAATTTCTTAATATTATTATATATTATGACACCTGATATCTATTTTACTCAAGTATATATTTTATGGAAAAACTTCCAGTACTGCTAAGATGTTCAATTTGAAATAGTCCTCTTTCCCTTTCCCCCAGTAGTCTGCACAGCCACTTCCAAGTATAATTCAATAAAGAAACAGTTTCTAAAAAACTGGAGAGCTTCACAAAATTCAATCAAATCCATGAAACTGAATTGACATCCACAAAAAACACTGCAAAAGAATATTCACTTATTTTAAAGTGCTCCACTTTCAGAGCTCTATGGGCTGAGCCCACATAGAGGAAAATTAAAATTGCAATCCTGTGGTCTCATTTGGAGCTGGGTAATTGCTAAACAACTTGAATCTAAAGCACTTTTTCAAAATACAGTGCAATGGTAAAGAAATAGAGGAGTTGGTACAAAACACTAATTAAATATGAAAGAAAATGAATGACCAAAAAGTAGAAAGGTAATATCTCGGGTCTATAGTACCAGCTCACTCAAAAAATATGCAAGCATGGCTCTTACACAAGAGCCCCTTTTAGATTTAATTCAGATCTCTATTAATAGGGTAATCAAAAATTTGTATCATCAATCTGTGGCTGGAAAGGGTTTCAGATGTTTGGAAACTATTCCATTAATTGACAAGGCTGTAACTATTTGCTAGTGCTTTGAAAGCATTGTAAGACAATTTAATTGTTGAATATTTTTCAGCGTGTACTTTTTAAGAGCTTGTGCTCAATAAAACTACTGATGCTCAAAGTTACAAGAGAAAAGGAGAAACAAAATTCAAAACAAAAGAAAAAAGAAAAGGAGAAACAAAAGGAGAGACAAAAATCCAAATGAGATCTTTTCAAAATAATTTCTTTGGGTTTAGTTTTAGATTACCAACAATCATTTTGACACTATAAAAGACTATCACATTCAATTTATTACACAGGAAGGCTGTATTAATGTGATCTGCAGTCACAAGAAGTGACACAAAGCTAGGAAAACAAATCAATGCGTAGAGTACAGCTATAGCTCTTTTTGCAAAGGTTATACAACCAGAACAAAAAATAATGCCTACATTTTTATACCCGTACTTTCATTCTAAAACTTTTAATAATTACATTTAACTATCTTAATATTTGTCTTTTTAGGCATACTTATTTCCAGATAACTAACATGTTACAGAAAAAGGAACTTTTTTTTTTTATTAAAGGAAATAAATATAACAGCTTGGGTTCCATAAAAGTTGATTTAAAAAATGTAATTAGTTTCCCTTTGAAGACAGCAATTTTTGAACAATATCTGATTGCTAAAAATTATGGACACTGTGGCAGATCCAAACAGATTTGCTGAAGCTGATCACCTCTAAAAACAAATCAAATGTCAGAAAATCTCTTGTGCTCTTTCAGCAATTAAAGAAATTTTAGGAAATATTTTACATATACTTCTAAACATCACACTATTGACAGCTTTAGGATAATGACTTCCTCACTCCTGTCAGATATTGTATAACTCTAAGAATTTGTTTCTATATTCTTTGGTTGTTTTGGTTTGGTTTTTTTCTTAACATATATTTTATTTTTTCTTAATATACCTTTTATTTCAAAAAAGTAAAACTATCAGTAGATTATTTTTAATACTGAAAACTCAGACATCCTTCCAGTCTCAAGCTATTTTGCAGGATCACAAAATGGATTTTTTTTTTTTTCTTAAAATTATTCTAATGCATCTTCTGAATTCTGGAACTTGTCTAAGAAAAAGGGAAACTTCCACTAGGATTGCTGATAAAATCCCATCAACACTCTTGATTCAATTTAAATCACAGCAAGCAGTCAGTCAATGTGTGGGGACAATGAAAACAGAAGACTGATCTTGGTCCCATGAAAACACACTCTGCAAGAAGGAAGGAGATCTAATGTAGAAGATCCTCCAGTCACCCTAAAATAAGGAAAATCTACTTTATTTCAGGCATGAAAGGCAGAAAAGTAGGAAATGTAGTAAGACAAACTAAATTAATTACTTCTCCTTGCTTATTTCCATATTATCCTGAGGTACATATGGGGTCTTAGGATAACAATATTAAATTTGGTGACAATGTTTTCTCTGGCAATAATGGTAAGATTTAAGGATCTTAAAGATAGTATTTAAAAGGTACTAACTCAAAGATACTAAGTCATACACAAAATTTGAGTTTGAAGGAGAGAATATCTTTAGTAATATGCAACATCTTCCCATGCTCAGACACCAGAAGCAAGCAACTCATTTCCTAGGAGTATTTACATCCTGATTGGAAAAACTTTTAAGTGCAAATGCATGTCAGTACTAAGACGGTTAATTAAAATATGCAAAATTCACGAGACAAGTCTCCCAACAGCAGATTTTATTTTAAATGCTAACAAAACTGCTTCTTTCTCCCATTCTTTCAGGCCTCCTTTTTGGCTGCTGTTGTAACTGAAGATATTTTCAAGGTCTTGAATGGTGTTTACTATTGTTCATAGCTCTTTTCAAAACATGACCTCACTTATAATTGAGCTTATTTCAAGTCATTAGTACAGCAACTCAACAACTCTTAAGATGTCCCAATTGGTATTATTTTGAAAAGCTGGAGATCCGAAATGTCTATGCAAACTCTTATGGCCTTGAACTTCTATTCAGAGGATCTCAAAATATCTCAACACATAAGGCCATGCTTTCACCAAGTTGAAGATAGAAGTCCTTGTTCAAATTTGAGGAGTAATTTTGAAAAACAGAAGCCTGCTTGGTTGGCAGCAAGACTAATTGTTTTTCCCCCTGAGATTCATTCTAAGTTGATGCCCCAAAAAACCTACATCATAACAAAACAGAGTTCTATTACCATGAAGAGAAGGACTGCTGTCTGCTACATCTGTGTGTCCCAGACTACTCATTTCAGAAAGGTTTGGCCTGTGAGGTAACACAAGTGCTCTAGTTTAAAAAAACTGAAAGGCCTCTATTGTATCTGTTATAAATATTTGCTCCCTAATCCTACTTTTACTATATTTTGGAGAATAAAACTATTTAGAGAAAAAGTGACAAAATAAGAACAAAGCTAAAACCAAGTCAGATCATTCTTGTAATGGTTCAGAAGTGCAAGAAGTTTCTATTTCTGGAATAGTTTCTGCTATTTTGGAAGAGCCTTCTGCAATTCCATCACAGAAAAAACAGGCAATAAATTAAGGAATATCGGAATACAGAAGAGGCTGGTAGAGAGAGGCTTCTCTTCTACCACCCCTTTTTCTTCACTGCAACCTCTCAACTCCATTCCCTTCAACGACAGAGCCAGGAAAAATGAGCACACTTGAAATGCCAAGCACCACTATTTTTTTATTTTGAAAATAAAAAATATTTTCTGCCAGTAGATTAATTTCTTCTCAATACAGGAGATTTCATACTAAAAGTGGGCTATTCAAGTTGTTAGAAACTTCCTGAAAAAGCGAGAAGTCAACCTACAAAATACTAAGTATAACTGAAAAAGTATTTTATTTTTTCAAAAGATATCCTTAATTAATTTAAAATACATCAATTTGTTTCATTTACATCTATTAAAACTCACTGAGTACAAAACAGAAAGGAAATCCAATGGTTTTATCACAAAAACATGACATTATTCAAAGTTACAAAGTAACTGGCCTCCATGAGAGGAGAATGACAACAAGCTGTTCACAAACACAGGATTTACCTGTACCATTCATAGTCCCTGGAGAAACCTTCTACTGGTCATACAAACGAATTCCACCCATAAACCTGCACAAATCCTATTCAACTCAGGCCAACTCCAAACAGTAGTACTCAGCACCAGCTCTTCTTGGCATCAAAAACCTTAGCTCTAACTGAACCAAGTCTGCAGCAGCATCACTACACTGGAAGTCCATAATAGAAAACAAAGTATTTTGCTTCCTTTTGCTTATTTTTGAAGAAACTCCTCAACAGATGCAAACATATGATAAGCATATGATTTTACCAGCTACCTAGTCACATTTGTGACTTATTCTGGCAAAACCTTCATTAAGATGTTGATTACAACTTTGCTGAAGCAAAACCTGGCCTGCACTAGAATTTAAACTATCATCTGTTTGGCTTCATTTTATCTCATATGAAGCTCTGTTTGAACTGGCAAATTGCTTCCTCAAAGATAGCAGAAGAGGAACAAAGCTGTTGTGATTTCTTCTCCCTGAGTCATGATTTAATTACACAAGCTAGCAGACTTTGACAGATTTATGCAAAAGTCACTGCTCTCCTCCTTTTCTGGGGTTTTGATGTATGGCATGGCACTGTAGTGCTTAACCTGGTTACCAGTCTTAAGATTCCACAGAAATACCAAACTCTAGAAGAAAAACCTCAAACTGTAACAACACTTACCTCTGTAGCAAATAGTTCTTCAGTTGCTCCTCACTGACTCATTAGTTCCATCACTGAGCCTTACAACAATTTTTTTAGAAAGCTGATTGAAAATTAAAGTAATGTTAAATGAAGAAGTGGAATGCTTTAAAGGAAGTAGTGAAAAACACATTCTCAACTAAAAAATGTCATTTAAGTAAGAAAGTGTCAGTCTGGCTTTAGTGCAATTAGCTCCATTACATAGGGACATAGCAACATGGTATTTCCTAAACAGAATAAGGTTGGTATTTGTTCTCTGCAATACAAGCTTTCTTCCCTATTCACACTTCCCAATCAAAGAATCAGTAAATAACAAACCCACATAATGTCTGATCTACAAAGCCATGACACCTGCTCTAACAACTAATAATGGTTTGGGGCACTCCAGTTAACACAAGTCAGCTCTCAAAATTATTCTCCAGGGCAGTGCTTTTAGAACTTAGTATCTAAATGTCCAAAACGTCTTGCCAGAAAAGATCAAAATGCTCTAGCCTACTGATTCTCAGGTTTCACAGTAAGGCCGAGGCCTTCATCATAACATTTTTTTCTAAAATCTGAAAATTAATAGAAGTCTGGTATTTATGTCTGATGCTTACATAACTTAGATCAAAGTTACAAGGTGCTTATATAGCTTGTGTTATATCTATATAACCTGATATCAATATAACCTATATCGTGACTTTTTATATATCTATATAACCTGATACCTATATAACCTGAATCAGACCTTTTTATACTTACATAGCCTGATATAAGTTTTTTATATAATGCAATGGCTAGTATATGGTTAACTAGTTGATTAAAGCTGAATAGACAAAAAAAAGAAGAAAAAACTTGCCAGGTGGATAGCTTCAGAGATAGGTAAGTAAAGTACTAATGAAAAATTGGCAAGTGTTAAGCCAATTAGCCACACAAAACAAAGAATTTAGGCCGGTTGAGACTGGTCAGATCAAGGAACACCATAACATGCTCCGAAGACAAAATTGAAAAGTTCGGATGCAAAGAAGACCTTGGAAGCCTTCATCAAAGACCCCCAAACTGGGGAGACACAAGTGCAGTGCAAACAAACTATCTAATAACCATGAGATCATACTATGCAAATTAGTTCTGCCATACTGCTCTTGATACCGAAGATGAGAAACAAGGATTTTGAAAAAAGGAAGTTTCTATTTTTTACTTGCTACTTGCACAAACTGAATCAGGAGATTGGTTTAGACTCAGGAGTTAGCCTACAAAACCATCAAGACAACATGAATCCACAGGCATACACCCACAGACAACATGAGTAAGTGTTTTAAAATAAATATACTGTTTTCAGGCTGTTTATAATTTTTACACTGCTTGTATGTTTTTAGTAATTTTACGTACAAGAAATCCCTAAAGTAAAAAGGTAAGTAATGTGATGACCTGATCCAACTGCCAGAGAAGGCAAAAATATACCCCAAACCATTGTTTGTCTCAAATTTCCACATCAAAGTTAGAATCATTGCACGATTTGGATTGGCAGGGATTTCAGGGGCTCGCATGGCCAAACACCCTGTTTAAAACTGACTTGAAAGGGACCCATGAGGATGATGGGGTCAACTGCTTCCAGAACAGAACTTCCAAAGACATACTTATTGTCTTTAAGGAACAGTTTTGCCTTAGGACTTTGCTTTGTGTATTTGTGAGTTTTCTTCCAGAGTACTAGACTTTTACTTCATGGAATTATTTCTCATTCATGTTTCTTCTTAATAGAAAGCTCTTTCCTAGGTGCTTAGTCTGCTTCCTTCCATCAGGAGAACATTTATGGCATTTCCAGTCAAGCACATGACTAGCAAATACATGATCTCCAGCTCCACATCTGTGTTTAAGGCATTCAGTGGATGTTGCAAGCAGACCAATAGACAGGTACGTGTCCCAATGCCCTGCACCCTGCTACTCTTGCCTATTTGAAACAGCTCTATGTACAGGTGTAATACTTGTTCTCTTCTCTGCTTTATCACGCCTTAAAGCTAATACCCACCACATTTAGAATTGTTCACTTATTATTATTTGGTGCCTGAAGGCCAGAGGACAGCATGCCATTTAATGGCACTTGAGGCCTCTAGGCTTTGGAACCCCTTATTTCATGCTGCATCATTTAGTCTTGCCCTGCAAACAAAAGTCAGTATTTGTGCCAGGTAAGAGAACAATCTGTTAAGGTCAGGCAACAAGTCTAATAGAGTAGCATATTTAGATTTATGCCCATGAGATGAGGAGTGTTGCGTAATAAATGCTTAAAAAGGCTGACATGGAGATTTGTTAGCAAGGACTGCAAAGGACATTTATTGACCATAAACGTTAAGGTTACCTCTGATGAAAAAAAAAAAAACCCAAAAGTGGTGCAAGAGAAGGAGAAGAAACAAGAGAAAAGCATTCAGTCTAGCTGGGGAAAACACTGACAGTTTCCCTCCTCCCAGGGACAGGGAGGTCACTACTGTACAGGCAGGGAAAGTGCAGATGAGACAGCAATGTATATTTTGCCATGCTTTTTCCCCAGCACTGTACTTTCATCATCAGACTGAGTGAAACACCACAATCTTGTTGTTTCCTCTGACCAAAGCTTACAACTGTGCTGACTGGCTTATGTTCATCATGTGCAAATGAAGCACATTCACCAGGCATTCAACTTTTGTGCACATCTACGACTGTCCAATATTTAGCAAGGAATTAAATGTCTATTTGCTTTGCTGGATGCAACATTTGGTTTTCTGGGATATAAACTCAGATCTACAAAATAAGAGGCAAGGAAAGCTGAAGAGGGAATTCCCACACCAGTTCTAGTTGCTTCCCATGAGAATGTGCCATAACAGTGCTATCAATATTTGCAGGTGCAAGGCCACCAGAGCAGCAAGCTGAGAATAACAGCATGAAAACAAGAAATGCTGAAAATACTGTCAAAGACAGTCTGGAAAACATTGTGTCAAAAGCTTCAGGGAAAAGTTACAGAGATGCAACAGCAGCCTAACAGCACTATGATTGTTAAGGCAATTTGCAACAGGGATATGTCTAAACTTTCATAAATCCTTTGAAAAGAAACTGATGCCCACAAAAACACAAGGGTGCAGATTATACCTAGGCCCTTTTTCCTTACTTCACCTGGAAAGCAGCAACATAGAGAAGAATTGTTTTTAAAAGTCATGTCTGATACATATTATAACACTGAATTATTTGTGGAATATTCGTTTGAACATAAAACAGCAGTATTCAGTTTATGTAATCCGAACACACGAGTATAATACCAGGGCTTGAGAATTAAAACCTTGTTTATGCCCCTCTCTCCCATAGCCAAATGAAGTTTTTGGAAAAGTAGGCAGTGGACATAACTAAAACCATATCAAATTTTCTTACAGAATTATTTCAATAATATTTAATTTGGTTACATCCAGTGGCACTGGATTTTACAAACCAAAAAAAGAAAGAAGAGCAATTAAAACACGAAAAATTATCTATCTGGAAAGATGCATTTGCAAAAATAAGATTCTCTTGACAGAAATTTATGCATTTTAAGCACATTCTTATGACCAAATATAAATGCAAAAATTATTTTTATCATTATAAACCTCACCTTTGAAAGAATATTTTTTGAATCAATGCTGTAGCCTTTAAGGCTCTCATGCAATTTCTGCAGGCGCTCCACAACTCTTCTTTGTTGCTCATCATTCTTCAGCTCTTCCTGCTTAATCAAAAAGTCATAATGTTCTAAAGGTCCATTGCAAACCAGTAAGGCTCTGGTGTGAGCATCTGTAGGAGTACCAGGGCCTGTCTTCTGATCTGCCTGAGCTGTGTAGGCTGTAAAAATAAAAGTAGCAAATTAACAGAGAAGTTTTTAAAAGCAACTCCTTATAAAAAACACATATTCTTACAGTTAACACAAAGACATATATACACAACTTACCTATATAACCACTGGTTACCTCTTCATTTTTCATAAACTCAATTTCTAACTTTACTCTAGCAGTATGTTTTGACATTCCTTTATTTTATTAACAAGCACACATTCTAAGTCCAGCAAGAGAGTTGGTAAGATTTGGATGAACTGTTGCAAGGGAAGTCTTGACTTTTTTTTATCCAAATTGGGGTAAAATAATTTAAAAATTCCAAGTGCATTTCTTTAAATAGATAATCCTTTAGGTGAAACTTCAGAAAATACTTAAAAGTCAACAAACAAGAGACCAAACCAGGAGTTCTGTAAGGGAGTTGAAAGACTCACACACCACACTAAGCAAGGCAGCAGTTGTGAAGCCCTACAATGCCACAGCCTGATCTGCTGGCATTATCTTCTACCTAGAAGAGACAGGGACAAGCCTGGGTACGAATACTGTCAGAAATAAGACATTTAAAAAAAAATAAATAAAATTCAGAATTGCTAGACATAAAACAAGACATAACTAGAAAAGGAAAGAATGCACAAGATTACAAAGAAGGCTTGCCAAATCATTAATATCAGAAACCATAGCATATACTGGAAAGCTGTTAAATATCTTCTTTGCTTCCAGTGTCATTTAACAAGTTAAGTATAATAATAAAAACATGATTTCTTAATGGGTAAAGGAAAAGCATGTTAATTGCAGTAACTCTTTTGACACATAGCATTGCCATCTATGAAGTAGGAAAGAAAACTGCAAGTGAAAGTACTTTTAAGCAGGTATAAAAGAGCTGGAAAAAGGATAGGTAATAAATAATTACTACAGTTAAACTAGGTATATATCTGCAGTAGAGTTTCATTGAGGGCTTAGGATCTCATCTTGGTCAATTTCCATCCATGCCATATATGGCAAAATAAGGTACACGGGTTGGGAATGCAAATAACAGAAAATCAGGAGGGGGCTGCAGACACTCTGGAAATCAAGTGAATTCTGACAAACTGAACAAATAATCTAATACAAATAGGATGCAATTCAACATGAACAAAGCATGTTACTTAGAGGAAATAAGTAACTCAGGAGATGGGAAATTACCAGCTGAAGAGTACCTCTGCAGAAAAGGATCCAACAGCCTCGCTGGATCACAAAGTGACAGCGAGACAATATCATAACACTATCAGAGGAAAAAAATCAACCAAAATAAAATAAACACAAGTACTCCAATACAAATACACACAGGGGAAAAAAAGCCCTGTTCTATTCAAAACTGGTATAGTCTGCCCTGGAAGACACTTTTCAATTTTCACATCTTATGTTATGAGAAGTATGAACCAAATGGGAGAGTAAATGGAGATTTAAAGGACTATTTTTTAAAATATGAGTCACAACCCACAAAGATGCCATAAAAGTGACAAAAAGAGTTTTAAGTAGGTGTAAGAAAGACAGAATATTAGAAAATGATCAAATTATATTTACTTATTGCAAGTAACAGTTTCTCCACAAAAAGGCAGTTACTGTTTATATCTGCAGCCAATAATTGAAGCAAATTCTCTTGTTCCTGGAGGAACTGAGTTGCTGTTTTGAATTAAGAGTAATTAGCTCATCCCTATCTAAAGAGATCACATAAAGAAAGTTGAGTTCAAAGTCTGTAATTGCAAAATGTAAGTAAAACCTGTAGAGAAGAAAAACACATAGCTGTCTCCAGATACATATAGGGTACTAAGAAAATGAAAGGAAATGGTATTTATACAGATAATAACTGTAATTAAGGTAGTGAAATGGATTAATAGTCTTCAAGCTGTAAAACTTAAGACGATGCGGGGTGAATTTTAAAAATAAGTTTGATGAAAATCTGTCAGGAACAGGTCAGCAAAACCTGACCTCCCTCTGAAGGGAAGGGGAAATGGCAAAGATCACATAATTACAGAATGACACAGGTTGGAAGGGAGATGAACTATCATCTAGATTCAACAGTCCTGCCATGGGCAGGGACAACTTCCACTGGAACAGATTGCTCAGATGATCTCTCAAAATTTTTTCATTTTGTTTTCCACTATTCCACTCCCAAAAAGAGTCAACCTCAGTCCTGTGATCCATACCTCTGAACTATCTGTGCCTTTGCAAAACATAGAAGTCGATGGTCCCAAGCACTCCAGTGCATCCCGTTATACCTATTAATTCTTGATTTCCTACTGCTTACAACAGGATCAAAGGAAAAAAAAAAACAAAAGAAACTGATTTAGGGGTAAGAAAGGGTTTGTGGTTCATGACCTTCCTGGCCAGGGACAAAGCACACCAGTAGGACTGCTCAGAAGCATGGGGTTTGTCTCAGATTACATGTACTCACAGCTAACCATCCTGTGAGTAGGATGAAAATACTCTGTCATTAACACGTGACAAACATGGAGACTATGCTCAAATGGGCACATAGGGTATCCTGGCACCAATCACTCACTGTTCTCCTAAAATAATATTGAACACTGGGATTTAAATATGATGAGAGTACACTAAAGTACACTACCAGGAGACACCCAGTAACTGGTTAAATGATAAACTCACACCTGTAGCTGCAAAGAAAAGGCAGAAGCTACCAAACAGCATGTGGGGGTTTTAGAGATAAGTCAACAGAAGGTAGCTATCCAAGTGATAAAATATTCTAAGAGGCAGAAAAACATGTGCACTTTCCATTTCTCACCTGCATTCTGTGGAACAGATTGCAGTATCTATCACTCAACTATAGGAATCACCAATGATTCAGTGCACTAACTGTAGTCCTACAGCCCTCTTCTCCACATTGCAAAATATGGGTTTTCATTTATTCCTTACTGTTTCATTATCTAATCTTTGTATTACAGAAATTGTAACTCAATTTTTATTAGTTCCCTTCTAAAGTCTTTAAGTGACACACAGAGAAAAAGCGTCCTCTGCACCTATGTAGTGTTTTAGACACAACTATAGAAAAGCACATCAATTCACTGTTCACTTAGCTTTACACAGAACAGTGTAAAACTAGACATATGGTTATCCATAATCTACCTTTCCCACCTTCAGGGTGCAGGACAGTGCTTGATGTTACCACATTACCCTGACGTTCCCTTCTTTAGATTTGACACCAATGTGCAACTTTTTTCCTAAACTTCTGTTCCAAAAACATACATAAGTATAATCTCACTTTATTTCATACTATATAATCAGGTCTTTTCATTTGCCTTTCTTCTTACACATATAAGGATCACTGACACAGCTTCAGTGAAGACCTACTGGTCTTCTGGTTCACTTTTTGGGGTGATACATCCCAAAAAAAGAAAGAAATTGGAGGGGAAAATCTCACCAAGGCAAATAAAACTTATTTTGAAAAATGCCAATCTGGAATTATAAAAAAATTTCTTTCAAGTGGGGGACTTAAGACATATTAGGTAAACTGACATTAATTTACTACTGCAAAGATAATTAATGTTTACATAAAAATAAAAAAGTATTCTTAACTCCAGGGACTTTCTGCTCTGGAAAAAAGCAGCAAATTGGAAAACTGATCAGTGTGTTGTTGAATTTTTCTACTGCTACTTAGAAGTGATGTCTGAGATGACACAGAAAAAGGCATGTGGGTTTCAAAGATACAGCTTATGAAAGCAACAGTCACTTCTGATGCAAGCACTAGAATTATTCACGCAAGGAGATAAACTGATATGGAAGCTGAGTTGTGCCATACCAAAACAGATCCTGACAGCAGCCAAGAGGCTGAGAGCACAGAAGGGTAACCAAGGCACGAGGTAGAGAATTAACACCTTCCCCTTCCTTCTTTGCTGTAATGGTTAATTACTGTTTGTCTTAAAAATAAAGAATATTTCCAACCAATAGTTGTGTGAGAACTGCACCTAAACCAAACTCATGTAGGTTACAACTGCACCAAAATTAAGTACCTCGAAATCACCCAAGTGCCATCTTTGCTGACAGTCATGATCAACAAGTTGGAATAGCTTCTACTAAATCAATGTTAATGCAAGGTACAAGGATCACATCTGTTTCATTACTGCTCTGTCAGCACAATCTGCCTTGAGAGCTTTTCACAAACCCTGAAATTTGTGTGGATAGAGGAAAAAGAAAAAAAAAACAATAGAAACCAACTTTTAAAAACTGTCCTGTTTTCAATAATCCAATCTCAAGTTCAGAATATTAGTTTGGGTCACAGTGAATCCAAATGGCTTCAAACCTTGAGACTTTCAGTGTAAAGCTGTTAAAACTGCCTATGAAACACAACTGCCACAATAGAAAAAGAGGACTTGGAAGTCAGAGGGCACTTCCATCAACAGGCAGATGGCAGTATGAGAGACCTTCCTAAAATCAAAATTATCTGGTAACAGAACTGCTGCAAAATCTTTCCTTCTTAGATGACACCACAGTGAGGAGGAAGGGCAATGATACAATCTTGTAGCTCCAAAGGTTATTTTCCTGCATGAAAATATGAGCAAAGGTAGCAAAAGATCAGAAAGGATTTTTTTCATGCTAGTACCTGTAAACAATAATAATGTCCTCTTGTCTCATCTTTCATTAGATATATATGCAAGTATTGCAGAATCAGTTTCAAACAGGTAAATTGCCCCACGATGTACAAGGATTTGGATAAATTAAACACATTTATTAAAACCAAGCATATGAATAAACCTGCAGAAGAACAAAGGCTTGTCATGTAAGCTTCCTGGGAAAGAGAACATGTGCTAGGCATAAAGCTAAAAATACATTTATAGTCTAATAAACAAATGCTCCTTTCAAAATTGCACTATGATTAATGACAAAAATGTAAGAGGAGGTGATCTGAAAAAAAAGTATTTCCTTTCCAGTGCTTAACAGAAAGCTTAAAAAAATCAAAATCCAACCAACCATATTGGGAGGGGGGGAGCATACACACACTAAGTTGTCTGCATGAATTGAAGATTTTAGCCAATATAATGCAAAATTCATAAAAGCCCCACACTTGCTGATATTAGCAGCTCAAACCAGAAGCAGCTTGCAGCTAAGACATAAGGACAAGGATTCACATTTTTGTCTCATATGACCTTAGATGAATAACTGGAGACCATTCATTTGGGCAAAATACAAAACAGTATTTGATCTTCTAGAGAAACATGAGTTGGAACTAGAATTCTACTTTTTTATTATTATTATTTTTATTTTTTGCATACATGCCTGATACATTATTCTGCTAGAAGATTACTTGTATTTTTTCCATGAACGCCCCGTTTAACAAACTGACTGGTAGATGAAAGTAGGGAAGGACAAGAGAAGCGTTATTAGTGAAATTGGAACTTTACACAGACAATACTTGTCATGTCTTTCCTTAAATAAGGAAAAGGTACAAAACTGTGTAAAGCAAATCACAAAAAGAAAGCAAAGACTATAAACCAACGACCATAAAACCAAGATTACAAATCAATTGCATGATGGCAGCCCATCCCTGCAGTCTGATGTCCTCAAACAACATATGCAAGGACTACCTTCACTTTAACATGGAAGGTAACAAACTACCTAAAGCCACCGGATTTGGTCTGACAACTTATTCTAAATGCTACTATGCTGGTTATAAAGAACAACCTACGTAAGAGTCCAAGCGTTAGACCAGTATCAAACATGCAACTGCAGCGCTTGTCTATTTTTCTTAGGATGGATAAATATTCTACAATCACAACATAATGTATGGATGTGAACATTTATCAAACCTGGGACCCACCAGTCACCAGCTGATTTATCACACTTTGGCCAGAGTGGCAGTGGGCGAAGAGTCCTTACCAAAGAAAAAAGACCTCTGCTCCTAACCTAAGCCTCAAGTTAACAAAACCCCATAAATTTTTGTACTGAAGAGACTTTCGAAGCAAGGCTGTGAAGACAGAGCACAGGTGTCTTTCGTTATAAACCGGAGGGTGCTTGAGGGAGAACAGTCCCTGAGACACGCCAAAGCGCGGCCGAAGCGCTGGCAGCCACCGGCGCACCCGCCGAGCGCCCGCTGCAACCGCAAGGCTTTAACCAGGGAGCGCACCGAGGCCCTATTTCCCAGGGGGAAAGCGGTATCACCAACTCGGGAAGCCACGGGCCCCCTTCGCGGGTCCCCACGGGGACCGGGGCCGACTCCCGGTGGCACCCCGACAGGCGGGTCCCCTCCGGGGCCGGGACAAGCCCAGTCCGGGGAATGCGAGGACACCGGCAGGTCATGGCAGAGCGGCGAGGCCTGTGCGTGTCCCGGCGGCTGCCGCGTGGCCCGCCCGGCATCGCCACCCACCTCCCCTCCGCCGGGGACAGACCCGCGGCACGACGGGGAGGGGAGGCACGCACCGGCTCCCGCGACCGCTCCTCGGTGCCCTTCCTGCGCGCTGCCCCGGCAGCCTGTCGCCCGCCCGGGCCTAGGGAGCCCCGGAGAGCCGCGGCGGCGGCAGCACTGACCTCTGTGCGGCGGGAGCAGGCGGGCACGGCACCCAAGAGCCCGCAGCAGGCAGCGCGCAGCAGCCAAGGGCGACACAAGGGCTGCCATCTTCCCGGCGCGGCGGCGGCGAGGGCGCGGGGCGCGCTGGGAAATGGAGTCTCGCGGGGCTGTGGGGGAGACCGTGCGCGGCCGGTGTTGGGTGAACGGCTCTTGCCTGGGTCACGGAATCACAGGGTCGATTAGATTGGAAAAACCCTCTGAGATCATGGAGTCCAACCTATGACATAACACCACAGTGTCGACTAGACCATGACACTAAGTGCCACATCCAGTCTTTCTTAAAAACCTCCAGGGACGGTGACTCCACAACCTCCCTGGGCAGCACATTTCAATATCTAATCACCATTTCTGTGGAGAAATTCCTCTTCGAGTCCAACCTAAACCTCTCCTTGCACAGCTTGAGGCTGTCTTCTCATCCTATAACTGGCTGCATGGGAGAAGAGGCCAACTCCCACCTGGCCAAAACCTCTATTCAGACACTTACTAAGAGCAATAAGGTCGGCCCTGAGCCTCCTTTCTCCAGGCTAAACAGCCCCAGATCACTCAGCTGCTCCTCACAGGACTTGTGCTCCAGGCCCTTCACCAGCTTCACTGCCCTTCTCTGGACTCACAGAATCACAGAATCACTAGGTTGGAAGAGACCTTCAAGATCATTGAGTCCAACTGATGCCCTAATACCTCAACTAAACCATGGCACTCATTCCAGCCCTTGTCCTTCATACAGTGAGAACCCCAGAGCTGAACACAGGATTTGAGGTGCAGCATCACCAGTGCTGAGCACAGGGTGATAATCTCTGCCCTGGTCCTGCTGGCCTCACTGTTGCTGATACAGGCCAGGATGCAGTGTCCTTCTTGGCCACCTGGGCACAGCTGGCTCATGTTGAGCCACTGTCAAACAGCACTCCCAGGTCCTTTGCTGATCCCTGGCTCCTTCCCCCTCTATTTTCACCCCAAACTGTGCTGCAGGCAGCAGGGGAGCCCCTGAGGAGCCCACCTACCTGTCCCAGGGCTGCACTCCCTACACAGCCACTTCAGCCACTCAGTACAGATCCACATTCCAGACCCACCTAGAGCTGCACACACCACCTTACTGCCCTACCCATGCACTCCAGTTTCCAACTTCCTCATCCACCTCAACACAAGAGCTTCTTTATGCTGAGGGTGCCAGAGCGTTGGAACAGGCTCCCCAGCAAGGTCATGGGCTCTCCCTCTCTGGAGACATTCGAAACCCACCTGGACACATTCCTGTGTCACCTGCTCTAGATGACCTTGCCATGGACTAGATGTTCTCCAGAGGTCCCATCCAACCCTAACTATTCTATGAGTCTGTAATTTGTATTGTGCTACACCATGACTGTGTTGAGTGCCACAGCTGTCATCAGGGAGTTTTGGCAACTGAATTTGCATTTGTTGATCATTTCTATCTTGTGCTATTTGCTTTTATCTCTAAAAACATGGACCATAAAATACTAAGGATAGATATTCGTAAAATATTAAGAACAAATATCACTGGCCAGAGTTACAACCTATCTGCACATCAGCAGTATCAGTTTTATGTCTATCAGTATAATTTTTATGCCTATGAACATGTATTTAAAATGCAACAACAAGATATGTTAACATAAAAGCAGAATTCTCTGGAGATAATTTAAACCCTAGAGGCTAATTTAGTCTCAGTGTCTGCTTAGCATACAGTAAATCTTATCTTTGGTATCAGTTCAAATACCCACACAGGATTTCTGAGGACTCCTCGGGAGAATGCTGACCACCTTCCTCCTTTGATAGGTACCTTACTGCCTTATCCAAGCACCTCCATTGCAACAGTTCTTTTGACAGAAAGGCACAATGCAAAAAGACTGCACTCCAAGGGAAGGGCGCTGGCACTCAGGAATCACTAATCATAACACTCGCTCATTGGCTGGCTTGTCATTCCTGACAGAAATGCACCCAAATGTCAGGATGGGGCTTCAGGAGATGTTGCCTGCAGAGTTCATTGTACAATAAATCGTTTACAAAGGGTCTGTTCCTGGTAAAGCACGAAGGAAGTGCTTAAACTGACTTTTGATTTTGCAACATCAGAATTCCTATATCTCATTTTAGCATTAGCATTTAGCAACATGAGAAAATGAGCAAGTAGTTTTCATAGACTATCAATGAACTCTTTTTATACAAAAGTATTGGAAAATGTTGCTTTAGAGAACTATAGAACAGCTTGCAAACAAAAGTTGATTATATCCTGAATAGTATTGCTAATTCTAAAAATAATGTTTATGATCTTGAAAATATTAGCAGTGATTGAAGTTACACTCTAACATGTTCAGCTGTTTAAAATACGTAGTTGCTCCAGACACATCTTCAGCGAGATATACCTAATTAAGTACTGAATTAAAGTGCCTATTTATCACATCCTAAAAGAGCTGTTTTCAGTGCATTTTCTTTCATCTTTCCTCTATTGGGCATTTATTGGTTTTGACTCATTCCAGCATATTATAGCTATCAACACCTGTGCCCATTTAGAATGAATTCCAGTACAAATCATAGTGAATTGAATAGACATCTCAAAGATGCATCACAATTGTTGCAATATATTTAGAAACTCAAACAAGGAAACAAACAAATTCTGTAAAAATGATTTAAATAACAAATAAGTTATCTTTATAAACAGCTTATCTCCTTGAGAACAAAGAATAAACAAGGCAACAAGAGCTGAGTTTTCTTCCATTATTAACTCAGATCACAATATGAATGGGTGAAATGTCAAGAATAATTGGAGAAAATGACAGTATAATCTTCAGCAAAAACATCTGATTTATTTAAATTGTTACTGTTTTTTTCTTAACCTTCCTATGCAAGGCAACATAGAAAAACTTCTCATTTGGATCCATTTGGACATCTTCTACCTAAATTAATAAACCCTCTGCAATGCTATGAATCTTTTGTACACTGGCCAACATGCACAGGAACTCATTGTCCTTTGGCCGTAAGCACCTCAAAAAAGCAAGTGTTGGTGTTAACCTAAACAAACAGGACTTTCAAGTAGATTTCTGTAGATTACCATGGTTTATGTCCTATAACAGGTACAGATCCATTCTGTGGTACATTTGTACCCTTCATTTCCTGCACTTCTGCCTTTGCCCAACTTCAAAAATGTGGCATTGAAACTGTTTAGAAATTAAATTGGCACTTGTTCAACCCTGCTGCATTATTACTCTGCCAGCTAGCCAAAAGTGGCCTCTAACAGGAATAAAACAGGAATAAGAATGAAGGGTAAAATCAAACCACTCCAGATGTCTCCTCTGGCTTCTAGTGGTATAACTGCATTGCTTTTAGAAATTTGGATGTGCTGAACCCTTTGGGGATGGATGAGTCCAAGAGTCTTTGGGTCTCTGCCAGAACCATTCTGAGTTTCTGCAGGAGGGCTGGGTTTACCTGACTGCAAGGCTCCAATATATTCCCGCCATGGGAAATACCTTTGGTTCCCAAACACAAAGGTATTTTTGATATAGAACTGACCATTCAGCCTACTCTTGGAAAATGGATTTTGCGGGTAGTTTTCATCAACACAGCTTCCATGAAAAGTCATTTTCTCGGGATTATATCAAAACACTCGGGGGTAGGCTTGATATTAACCTCATCTATTTTGAGACAGTCAAATGTGCTGTTAAAAGTCTACATTGCTTATAAAGCCTCAGGTTAACAAAACAAAAAAAATGTTCCCAAAATTATGGACTTACAGCTCTTTTCACTCTCTGTTTACAGTTTGCATCTCAGTCAGCTCAAATAACTCAATGTGTTAGAAATTTACTGCAGTATTTCAGCTACACGGTATTTCTCAGGAGTTCACAGTATATGAATGCATATATAAATGTAGATATTACAAATTATGTTTAGAAGCTTAATATTAATTATCTTGCAAGCAGGAGCACAGTGCAGACATTGAAACACCATGTTTCAAAGCACTGGCAGCTACTGCAGGGATCAGGAAGTCATTTTTCCACACAAGGCATTTCACAATTAGTTCAATGCCTTGTGGGTTTTGCCTTATCCTGAGTCAGCATTCCCCAGAAGTTCTGACAAAATATGCCCATGCTGTCTAAAATGTGCTAACCTGGACACTTGTCAGAAAGGCTGCAGAGTCCTAACTGGATAATGGAGAGATTTGGTTTCCTTTCCTTTTAAATGTGACTCTTTCTTTTAAAAAACAAAGAAAGAAACAAAGGGAAAAAAAAAACACTGGAGAAGTATTACTATACAAAATTCCAGAAGTAATCATCCATTAATACTACTTGTATGGGTCCGTGCTGTGAGACTCTGGTATGCATTTGCCACTTGAATTATGCCAGAAAATCTCTGTGTTTATAGTTGAATAAATAAGGTGTAATAACAAATCAGTGAGAATCTGATTGTTAAAGAATTTAGGTTAACTAGGATTCTCACTGATATCACAGAATATGCTGACTTGGAAGGGACCCAGAAGGAGCATTGAGTCCAACTCTAAATGTTTGATATAATCTTTGAACCTACAAACACAGCTGACCTCTCTCCCTCCAGATTTGGAATTTGGCCCAAAATTCATGTCAGAAACAGAATTAAAACTTTATTTTCTGAGTTTATGCTCACCTTCATACTGAGAAGAGAACCTTTCTAGCATGAAGAAACAGCTACATATAGTGTAACTCTAGTCTCATGATCACAGAAAAAATATGGAACGCAGTTCAAAGTAAACAAATGCATTTTCTGAGGATTGGAAGGAAACAAAGAGGCTCGCAGGACTCCAGTTTCCCCCTACCTTCATTCCTTCTTCTTGCCTCATCAGCCAGTGTGGCATTTATGCTTTCACATGATGTAAGTGGGGCATTAGTCATGAAGCTGGGCATCTTCCCTTTTGTCTCCCAGGTCAGAGGAGTTGTACTTGACTTCAGTGGGAAAAGCAGAGATGGGACACCTCATCAAATCACTTCAACCCCTTTATATACCCATGCTGTTGACAAGTGGGCTCTAAAACAATCATTCCCTGTAGCTTTCACAAGGCTCTCCATCACCAGTCAT